TGCACAAAAGATAACATATTTACTCAGAGTAAACATTATATCTAAAATTTTTATGTCTAATGTAAAATCTATGATGTTTATATGCAAAATGATCATCAAATTGTAAGAATTCCAGCAATGTAAATTATATTCTGGCCGGGTAATTTGTATGAATTTTATGAGCTAAAACAAATATCTTCAGTTAATAAAAAAAAAAAAATATTCTTCACATGGTAACAGATGGTCGGTCGATCCCTCCCTCCCCCCCACCCCCCACCAACCCCCCCTACCAGATGTGTGGGAAAACCAGAATATTTACCTTTTTAATAATAAATAATACCTCAAACTAAAGTTAGGATAATATAATTGACATTGCTGGATTCCTTGTAAGACCAGGAATTTTTGAATACAAATGTCATATATTTTGCACAAAAAATAACATATTTACTCAGAGTAAACATTATATCTAAAATTTGTATGTCTAATGCAAAATCTATGATGTTTATATTCAAAATGATCATCATATTGTAAGAATTCCAGCAATGTAAATTATATTCTGGCCGGGTAATTTGTATGAATTTTATGAGCTAAAACAGGCAGGCAGGCAGGCAGTCAGGCAGGGTGACGGGTGGGGCGAATCTAAAAATAGCATCTCCAGCCGGACACTCTGCGCGTATACGTGGAAAAACCCGCGTTAAGTGAAAGTTCGGCTCTGGCAAGGCACCGCGTATACGTGAAATCGCGCTAAGCGAAACCGTGTTAAGCGGGGTATTACTGTACAGGTAGTTCTGCTATAACGCGATAATTGTGTTCTTGTAAAATATCGTGTTATAGAAAATCGCGTAATAGAAATAACAGGGCTTATGGAGAAAATAGGGTTAGGTGCAGATTACACGAAATCGAAAAAATTTAGTAGTTAGCCTAACACAAAGGATAGCACGGTCAAAATAAATGTTACATTCATATCTAATAATGAAATCATACAGTAAATGTAACACTTTACTTGATGGGGGAGAAGGGTGATTTTGAGGTTGATAAAATCGAGCTTCTCTTCTAGTGTTATATCCTTTCTTTTACGATCATCACCAGGAATTTTATCACCGGAACGCTTCTTGTTGATATTCTTCTTTACTATATTCACAAAATTGGAGAAATAGTAAGCAAAAATCGCGTTATAGCAAACAAGCGTTCGCGTTATACAAATATCGTTCCTAATTCATAAATCGCGTTATCAAAACATGCGTTATAGCAGAAATCACTGTATGTATGTATGTATATTTATGTATGTATGTATATATATATATATATATATATATATATATATATATATATATATATATATATATATATATATATATATATATATATATATATATATATATATATATATATATATATATATATATATATTGAAAATATAGTGTGTGTATAGTCCCTCCTTCATAGAGAGGGGAAAGTGACACCTCCTACAGGAGATGGTACAGGACAAAAACAGGCCATCCTGTATCATCATATCACCATTTGGCATGCTTACATCGCAAGTTGAAGAAAACATCTGCTGGTGAGTAAAGTATAGTGTAAACAGTCGTATATTTTGTTTGTTTACAATATATTGTATGTGCACAGTAGTATTTGCAAAAATAAATACAGCTCTATGTCTGTCTGACTGCAGTTAAGTACGCTCCGTGCAAGATGCCGAGTTTAGACCCTCATAAAACCTTCACCAGTACATTACCCGGGAAAATTCCTGTAATGTGAAATTTCTTCCAGGGATGAAAGCATTACCTGAATATCAAACACACCAGATTGCTCCCTATCCTAACAATACCTGACGAGTTATGATAGTTTAGGTTAAATTAGGTTTCATACTTACCGTATATACCCGTGTATAGCACGAGTTCTTAAGACCAAATTTTTGGGCAAAAAGTTGGGGGTCGACCTCTATACGGGTAATAGTTTCGTTAGGTTGAAAAAAATTTACCAGTAACTACCAGTAAACAATGGAAACGATGCACCAACGCACCACCCGCTGTGAGTGTCGGTACAGTTGCCAGGGCAGATCTCTTGCGTCATCATAGCAAGCCCAAAGTAGCCAAATGCATGGTATGGTATGCACAGGAGTATGTAAAACATAAAGTATTCATTTTTAAAAGTGTATTTATAGATACATAAATTTTTGTTAATTAAATTTGAAACATCAATATGATGTGAGTCAGGTCATCTACACACAGTTGCCAGTTTCAAAATTTTCCTTTTAAAATTTTAAGTTACCGAGTATTTCTTTTCCCAAATCGTTTTACAATACTGTAGGTAAAACAGTATACTATTGTGCAAACCCCACAGAAAAAAAATTAACAAATGGAGACACCAAAAATGTAAAAAAAAAAATGCTGTCTGACTTGCAACACTGTTGGTAGGGTCACGTGGTTCTAACGGTACCTGCCAGGACCCGGTAATCAAATTTATAACAATATCTAACCTCAATTACTGTAGTTTATCTGATGTAGGCAATATGAAGTAAAAAATACCAGTTAAAGTGAGAAATTGGAAGAGAATAAACAAGAAAGATGTTGGGCTATTTTTGGTAGGGCTGAGGGAGAGAGTACCAGCTGTTTGGTCTTTTTTGGCGGGAGAGTCACGCAAATATCCGTACTAGTATTTGTTTGGTGTCTTCTGTATTTTTAAAAATGAATACTTCTAAATTAAAAGTACCGTAACATTGTATTATATAAAAACTTGTCATATTTCTGGAAAATAAGAAGCAAGAAAATAAGAATACACCGGTAAACACAATTTCAACGTACGCTAAAATTAAAAGCTGCTTAAGAAGGGCCGATGCAAACACAAAGCCTCCACGACCAGGGCTCTGCCGTATCAGCTAGACGGTACACGTGTTTTTCGAATCGTTTTCAGTTAAAAAACTTTTACATCACAAGTGAATTAGGATAGAATATTATTGTAATATAACAGTTTTTAACTGAAAACCATTCAAAAGGCGATTACGGTAACATCTTGTGAACGAAAGAAAGCGAGTCATTGTTTTTGTCACGATTTTATCCCACTTTCCACTATAATACGTACGTCATTTCAGCAAAAATATTACATTTCCATATTCTCAGAAATAAATAGTAGTTTTGCTGAAACGTGATGTATTTCAATGTAAATTAGGATAAACTACATGCAGAAAACAAAAGACTTTACCTAACCTTCCGATGTTCAAGATATGTTACTCGTATTTTTAATAGTTTTCGGTTAAAATACTGTTATATTAGTGATATTCTATTCATACTGTGGTTGATATAATACCTTCACGGAAATGTAATATTTTTTGCTGAAATGACATACGTATTACAGTGGAAAGTGGGATAAAATTGTGATGAAAACAATGACTTTCGCTTTGTTTCGTTCAAAAGATGTTACCGTAATCACTTTTCGAATGGTTTAGTTAAAAAACTGTTGTATTGTATTACAATAATATCCTAATTGACTTGAATAAATATTACGATACCATATTTCTGAATATTTTCATTAAAATCCATCAAAATCATTTTCCTTGTCATCGTCTGCAGCACCAAACAGCTTCTCCCAGTCCTCTCCTTGAACAGGGCTAGAGGGAACGTGTTTTTCGAATCGTTTTCAGTTAAAAAACTATTACATCACACGTATATTTTACCTAAACTGTGCCTGAATGAATATATTCTCGGAAATAAATAGTAGTTTTGCTGAAACGTGATGTATTTCAATGTAAAATAGGATAAAATACATGACGAAAACAAAAGACTTCACCTAAGCTTCCGATGTTCTTGAGATGTTATTCGTTTTTTTAATAGTTTTCGGTTAAAATTCTGTTATATTACAATGATATTCTATTCATACTGTGCTTGATATACTACATTCACGGAAATGTAATATTTTTTCCTGAAATTACGTACGTATTACAGTGGAAAGTGGGATAAAATCGTGACGAAAACAATGACTCGCTTTCTTTCGTTCAAAAGATGTTACCGTAATCGCTTTTCGAATGGTTTAGTTAAAAAACTGTTGTATTACAATAATATTCCCTCCTAATTGACTTGAATAAATACTTGAATGGAAATATACAATATTTTTGTTGAAACTACCTGCGTTTCAGTGTAAAGTGTCGTAATAATAAATGGTAAACAAGTTTATAGGACGTAGAGTTTTTCTGAAGGTTTTGTTGTTCCATTACCCTCAAAATCTTGGGTCGACCTATAAACGAGGAATATCATAAATTAACGATTTCTTGGTCATAAAATCGGGGTCGACCTATATACGAAGGGGGGTTATAGACGAGTATATACGGTATGTATGATCAACTTTAATTTTTGCAAGAATAATATGTTTTTAATTTTTTTTATGTTTATTATGCACACAATGGTAGCCAGGGTTTGTCACAATAAAATATTAATGGTTCAATTTAAATGCAATGAACACACTATTGGCCACAAAACCATCACTTACCTTAAACACTCAAACACCAAACTCAATACATTATAAGCCTTGTTACTAAAACCAAATGATTTAAGTGCAATATTCAGAAGGAGAATAAAGTGTAATAGCAACACTTATCCTCTCAGTCCAAACATCAAGATGCCAGAGAGAACCTTCACAGCTTGGGAAGCAACGGTTTACCGTATTTGAGATGGTTTGAAATTTGGCTCTTGTGGATGACAGGCTCTTAAGTGCAATGAACTCCAAGAGGTGAGGACTCTATATAAAGCTTAACCTGCACCAAGAATAACTCAGAGAGAATATAATTGGCGTGTAACACTGTCTGCATGGATAATTACCATAAATTACTGCTAAGTATAACATGCTCCTTGAGCACTGGCAGAGCCTGCCGAGAGGCATGTAGTGTACTGTTATATCTTGCAGGTCACTTGCAGGAACCCACAGGCTATAAAATGTGATTATAAAAATTTAAACAGTGACCAGTTCCAAATATGGCATGAATGACAAGCATGTGCTCAAAAGAACCAATAATCTGATTCTGAACTAACCTATTCCCCAGTCTACGCCTTCAATATCTTCTTGGGTCTTGCCACTTCCATCAGACTCCTTCATCTTTTGTTCCCCATTTTCTTCTTCCATTCTGTCTATCTCAAGTTGTTTCAACTTTCTGGCACGCTTCAATGCTTCATCTTTCAACTCTGTCACAGTTAGATCAGATTCTGGTTCTTGATCTTCTGCTGGACCCTGTTAAAATAAATGCATAAAATGTGAGACTATTTCTACAACTTCTGGTTCTACAGTAAATCTTTGCCTCCTCTTTATATTCCCATTATTAGCTAAACCAACAGCTATACAATCGACGCTTACTTAACGTATGTTCATTGTACACGTTTTATAGATAATTTTTTTTACAACAGTACTACATGTCCTGTCGTTCATATGCCTTACATTGCCTTATAAAATTCACCTTTTTCCCCCCCAAAATGTCTCCAAAACTCATCCTGCATCCTAGGGGGATGAGGATACCAACTAAAACCAAAATGGTAATATTTATGAACAGTAGCTTGGGTTATACAACCACCTAATAAAGAATATCTAGAAGAAGAAAATTTATTTTTAACCTCAGAAATAAAGCACCTTTCCTATTCAAGTTTACAGGAGCATCAGGACAAATAGTTGTAGTCCGAACACTTCATAGACAATAATAACGCTATATACAGTAATACCCCGATTAGCGCTCAGGATGTGTTCCAGGAAAATGGAGCGCTATCCGAGACAGCGCCCATCGAGGTCATTAGTATACCAATGCATATATGGAGATGTGTTCCTCATGATGTTATTTTGTAACTATGAGATATATACAGTATTGTATTTGAAGGGTGCAGGTATAATATTAATAAATATAGATTATTGCAGTAACATTTCTTTACTAATTATTGAATAACAAATAAACAATATACTACACACTACTGTATCATGAATGACAGTCACAGTTGAATGAGTGAGGGAGGGAGCGTGTCGGTGAGCACAGTGGGTGGGAGAGGAGCAGTGGATATCATATGGATCTGCTCTAGCTGAAGCTAATCCATCTCTGCATCACTGAAATTATGATTTAGGTGGTGATAATAGAGGTAGTGGTAATGATGAGGGTGGTAATAATGGAGGTGGTGAGGATGATTGTGATAAGTGGTGAGGGAGATTGTGGTAAGTGGTGAGGTGATGTGTCTACGGGTTTCTTTGGTAACATTGGCTGCATCACTGCCAGATGCTATTGAGTGTATAAATAAATGAGCAACATTGTATCCCCTCAACATTATTTTACATAACATTTTAAAATATGGAGTGAGAAAGCAGAACGGTGGGGCTGATTAAAGAGATGGAGTGGAAGGGGGTGGTAACATGCACAGGGTATGATGCCAAGCGCTCCTCAACAGCTGATGTTCAACCCGCCACCACGCACTTGTGCTTCAGTTAACCACAAACAATTTTGTCATTTAATAAAACCTACAGTACACTTAATATAAAATTATAAAACACATTCAATAATCTACTGTAGTCATGGGTATTCACTAAAGAGAGTACAGTATAAATACAGTGAACTGCTCTCAGTGTGTTGTGGGTGTTTGGACTCGTGACTTTTAACTTCTTTTACGAATTTTCTTTTATTTTTCCAAGTAAAACTAGAGCTCCAAGATGCAAGCAAGAGCACTATAACAAAATAGCACTCTACAGGGTAAGGCTAACAGGGGTATTATTTCTGTACTGGACTAAACCAAAGACTCCTTCATTTGACACATTGGTTTTGGTAAACTCCTGAATGAAATACAGTACTGTACAGTATATAGTACACTTGAACCTTGTTAAATTGACATCCTCGGGTATTATCCCATTTGAATTACTCGTTGAATATGAATTAGCCGAATGCACTTATTTAATGTTGCTTAGGCAACATTTTAAGCAACATTAATAGAAAACACATGGACAGTATGTACCAGAGTGAGACTTGGGTTAAGTGCACATTCACCAAAGCTAAAGTTGGAGCTAACTGTGTATGAAATTGTGTGGAACACAGTTGCATTATGTTTTCTCATACTGATAAGAAGCAGACGAAGGTAAGCGATTAGAGTAAGCCAGTAGTAGTTGAACAGGAGGATGATACATCATCTAGTTCATTTGAATCTGTTTCCCACATTAAGGCCCTTAGGCAAGTGTCGGCTCTTCCACAGGATGTTTAAGCAGTATGGATCTCACAGGTAGTATGGATCTCACAGTAAGTCATAAACACTGGTTTAAAGTTGACTCACCTGTAGAATCAGCATCCGAGTACTACCCCCAAGCTTCAGCAAGTGACCAACTCGTAAAAGGTAGTAGGTGTGAGGCTTCATTTGATGTTTATTGTGAAAAGAGCCATGGGTGCTTCCAAGGTCATAAGCATAGAATCCTTGTGGTTTAGTTTCAGAACCTTCTAGTCTATATTGAATAACACAGTGAAACCTGAAAAAAATCATGTAATAAGAACAAATATAAAATTAGTTGGGAGCATGTCTGTTGAGTATACAGATGAAAGTGCATAGTAGAAGTGTCACTGAGAGAATTGTAACAAAACCAGTAGGAGCATATTAAGGAATGAGCATTGTAGTTTAAGAAATGGAGAATTTATCTTGAAATTTATTTTTATGGCTGAGCCTTAAGCTTGACAACCCATGTACCTGTTTTGCTAGCTATAACATAGGTGTTATTGTATTATAAATGCTAGTGTGACACACACCCCCACAGGGAGTTAACCGACATGCATAAAACAATGTACAGGTATACATAATTTCTGTAAACTGTACAGCCAACTGACCTGGTTGCCATTGTTTCCATGGGTTTTAACCTGTCAACCACAAACTTCCATGTTCACTCTAACCACTAATAGCTTTCAGCAATAATATCAAAAGACATCCAAAACTGTCTTAAACAAGATGTCCCATAAGTAGTGCAGTGATTTTGATGTGGAATATCTCTATGGTTATTGAAGTGCATGTGTTAAAGATTCAATATGGAAAGGTGGGCTGCTTAAAAAGGAGCTGCAATTATTGAACTGTATTTTAGAAATGGAAGGTCAATTATTAAAACTCAGAGTACTGCCTACAGGTGACAATTTGGTGTTTGCACAGCTCCATCAAAACTTGTTGCCAGTTTCTGTATAAAAGATAATGTCTTGGATCAGCCAGGCAACTTCAGAAATAACTTTTGATATCCTTAACTTCTTGTGTGCGGACCCCTCTCTGAGCAGAAGGAAATCATCGGGCAAGGGAATGCAATGATTGCCATGGCTCACACCTCAAACACGGAATATTTCAGAAGTGAACGATACATTTTCCAGGAAATCTGCCTTAAGAATTGTTTTTATAAAATGTCCAGACTTTATAGAATATAACATGCTTATTATTTGTTCCTATTCCTTGTATTAAGTACAGTACTAAGTGAATAAACACAATCAACATGCTACTTTTGGAACACCCCATAGTGTATACTGTATTTTACGGCATATAAGACGCACTTTTTTGTCTGACAAATGGCAACAAAAATCAGCCTGCATCATATATGTGAAGTTGAGGTCTCCTGTAAGCAAATGAATCCCCCAGTTGCTGTATCCAGTAGGCTTAATTCTACCTAGCCCAACTCCAGAAATAAAAATATGTTATTGCTTACTTAAACACATTACAGAGTATTATTATTTTTAATTAATTAAAAAAATAATTATTGTAAATATAAAAGTTTGATTTATAACTACTGTACTGATGACGATAACATGAGACGATTAACGTCCATACGGCAGAGGTAGCTAAACAGTAACCATTTCCGAACTCTTACAACCATTACAATCTATTAATTCTATTCCTGCAACATTTATTTTTAAATCTACAAATACCTGATACAGTACAAATAAAGATTTACATATAACTTTCTTTTCACATTTGCATCTATTAACATTGCTGGTTAGACTCATCACTGAGGCTAATGGGCCAAGTTGTGAGGTGTTATGGTTGTCCTTCATCTCGTATTTTCGGGTAGATATAGGACGTAACTTTCTTCATTTATTTTAACTCAGTTACATGCAAACACCATCCTACATGCATATCGTGAAAGAGTAAAAGAAATAATTGCCCTAAGGGCAAACACATACAGCATAGGGAATATACATTTCTTTGCACATGAGTTAGCTGGCTGGCTCAGCGGGGGAGCAGGAGGAGGCAAGAAGTGTGGGGGGTGGGAGCGTTGCTAGGGAATCGGCGGAGGTAGCGTCTGTTGTTATGGTGAACCAGGGTGTATATGCAAATGGCGACTGTGTTAAACTTTCATTTGGCTTTTATTTTCTGGTTTGGCAATACACAATTTTTTTTTTAACTTACAATACTTATTGGTATTATTTTTATTTATTCCTCACATTTACTGGTACAGTGGTCCCTCGGTTAACGAACTCAATTCATTCCAGAGGGTCGTTTGTTAACCAAAAATTTCATTAACTGAAACCATCGTTTCAATGGAATATTAGGTACAGTGGGGTATGCTATAACGAATCTAATTGGTTCTAGAACCTTGTTCGTTATAGCATTCGTTCGTTATAGGATTAATCCATTCCAGGCCCCCAAATACAACCACTTAACACTGAAAAATATAATATAAAATTGTAAAAATTGTAGAAAAGTGCATAAATATGCATCTAAACCCCTGAAATAAAGAATATCATTAATACTTGTAATAAAAAAAACAATAAATTAGTAAAAAAAAAAATTGTTTTTTTAAATAATGTTCGTTGTAGGAGTTTCGTTCGTTATAGCATTCTCAATTTTAAAGGTAAAACAGTTCGTTATTGGAATATTCGTAGTAGGATCCGTTCGTTATAGCATACCCCACTGTAATTGGTTCCAGCTCACAGAAAAGTATATACAAAGTAAAGCCCAAAATGCAGAAAGTCAGAAACACTCCTAAAATTCCCCTAAATCGCCCTTAAATCACTATATATATCATACATATACACTAGAACTCTTAAATCACTACTGTAATGTGATAGAGGTGATTAATTTTATCTCTTGTGCAAAATATATGACGTTTATATTCAAATTATTCGCTGTCTTGCAACGATTCCATCAATGCAAATTATATTCTCCTAACTTTAGTCTGAGATATTATATAAGATAAACACTTTAAAGCCTAATGAAAACACAAAACTTTTGTCTGGGAAGGCAGAGGGAGGGAGGGTGGGAAGAGGGGGGCGGGAGGTGAGGTGTATTTTGATTGACAGATAGTGCGTCTGGTGAAGTATAATTTGTTTATTTACTTGAGTTGTTGTTTTTAGGTCATAAAATTCATAGAAATTACCAGGGCAGAATATAATTTACATTGCTAGAATTCTTATAAGATAGTGATTAATTTGAATATAAACAAGCTAAAATTTGCATTAGATATACAAATTTTAGATATACGTAATTTAAGAATTTTATTAGAGAGAGCAAAAATTTTATCTTTTGTGCAAAATATATGACGTTTATATTCAAACTATTCACTGTCTTGCAACGATTCCAGCAATACAAATTATATTCTCCTAACTTTAGTCTGAGATATTATATATGATTAAAACTGTAAGCCTAGTGCTTTCCCCCAAACATTTCTTGGAAAGGTGGGAGGGAGGGAGGAGGGAGGGAGGGAGGAGGGAGGGAGGGAGGAGGAGGGAGGGAGGGAGGAGGGAGGGAGGAGGAGGAGCCAGCTTGGGAAAGAGGGGTGGGGGAATTGAGTTGTACTTTGACAGTTAGGGGGAAGGTCTGGTAAAGTATTTAATTAATTTATTTATGTTGCTCATAAAATTGTATATAAATAACCGGCCAGAATATAATTTATATTGCTGGAATTCTTATAAGATAGTGATTAATTTGAATATAAACAAGCTATAATTTGCATTAGACATACAAATTTTAGATCTAAATTAAGAATTTTATTAGAGCAAAAATTTTATCTTTTGTGCAAAATATATGACGTTTACATTTAAATTATTAGCTGTCTTGCAAGGATTCCAGCAATACAAATTATATTCTCCTAACTTTAGTCTGAGATATTATATACTGTATGATTAAAACTGTAAACTTAGTGCTTTCCCCCAAACGTCTCTCGGGAAGGTGGGGGGTAGGGAGGGAGGGAGGGAGGGAGGGGTGACAGTGACATGTTTGACAGTTGGTGCCTGTGGTGTGAAGTATTTAATTGTTAATTTATGAGTTTTTGTTTTTTGCTTATAAATTTAATAGAAGTGACCGGGGTGAATTTAATTTGCATTGCTGGAATTCTTATAAGAAAGTGATTAATTTGAATGTACACATGCCATAGTTTGCACTAGACAAAAATTTTAGTAATCATTTTGTACATTATTCTGATTACATGTACAGTTCAGCTTTACCCTTAGGACAGTGTGTGCATGTAAATGAGTTTCAATAAATGAATAAAGTTACATATGTCGAGCCAAAAATAGTTGAAAAACTTTATGTAGACAGAGCTTGGATGGCTAAATTTCAATAATTTTAATACTGTATAAAAAATGCACAAATATTATAGAGCACAGTTTTCTTGATATTTACTCCAATGGAAACGAATGTAAACATAGAAGAGATGTTCAAAACAAAACGTGATTTTCGTAAGGATATCGTTAATCAAATTTTTTTTCGTTAACCGAATTGAAGATTCTTATGGAAGGTAATTCGTTAACCGAAATTTCGTTAACCGAGGGACCACTGTACTGTATATATTATTTTAAGAACACTATTGCTACAGGAGAAAAATCCACACAAAAGTTTTTCCTAAATACTCCGTGCTAAAATGGGGTGTTTGTCTTATATGGCCACGCGTCTTATATGCTGCAAAATACCGTAAACACAATTAAACATGAAGAACTGTATGTGACAACAAGTGGTGGTGTTGGTGAGTGACAGAATTAATGTTTTATCTACAGTGCTATATCAGTGAATCAATAAAAACATTACTAAAGCCTAAAGGATTGATAAAACCATAGGCAAAATTATGTTCATTCTAAAACTAGTCTAAAATTTATCTTACAAAAATAAAATTCATTGAGTTCTGTGCACAGTGGCCAATTTTGATACTACAGAATAATTCGTAAATGCTGATGCCAACAAGTATTTTTCATGCTTAATGATATTCATTATAAAGCGATGTCATACTGTATATTAATTAATTACGTACAAGAAATGTTTTCTTAAGCAATCTTCCATCATAAGCCTTAACACTTTGGGGGTTTTCATATGCAAAATTGCATGATATCAATTATCACATTAGGGTTTTCATATGCATTTTTTTTGCATGAGGTCAAAAATTAAAAGGAAATAATTTTATGTTTTCGTATTAACTATAGATACATAAGATGCACTCTTGGCAATGTCGGTACAATTTGGCAACTTCCGTATATCACGGCCTATAAGGCGTCAGGGTGCATAAGACGGCCC